TTCAGTTGGATAATTAACCACTTCATCTGCTACCACCACAGTGTCGACGGACTTAAATGACTGCCTTGCTTTGTATGTTAGACTGAATAATATTGTTAAGTGCTTAGATGTCTTTGTTCTTCGCTGCAAGAACAGCTCGTTCACTCAGTCAATCGAGATTCTAATAATTTATTTGAATATTGGGAAATACTTTTTCAACCAATTCTTCTGTTGACGTCACTAAATTGTAGAAGTTATGAGGCAATGAAATTCGTCCTGAGGTCAGATCAACAGGCACGTTTCCGTTCCCAATTTCCAGATATTGATGGGAGAAAATCTCAGCTGATGAGTCGTTTTGCAGTTGGACACGCATATTTGTAGTTAATTTTAGCATCTTTACGTGGCATCACAAAGTAGAGTATTTCAAGCAAGCATTTATTTCGTCCACTGGTCCCGATCGAGGAATTACAGGTAATGTTTTCATGAAATTTCCTGCAAGCAATATTAATGCGTTCCCAAATGGTCTGATGTTTACACGCAAATCTTGTTTACATTTCTGCAATACTTTTCCCATGCCGGATGCTTTGGAAATGTTGCACGTGGGAGTTTCAATAAACTGCATGTCCAATGGCAATTTCAAAGTTGAAGTAGCAGTTCTTCCACCTGGTAGCAATGTCGCAGATATTCCGGACAATGCAAGAGCAAAGGTTATGCCATTTTGAGATCGAAATGCTGCAAAAATCAATGTTATTAGAAAGGTTTTACATTTCCTCCCGTCGCATCTAAGAAGATTTCTCCAAACCCGTTATTGAAAGCTTGAATTATTTGATCGCAAATGCCTTTTCGCTCAAGTGTTAGCTTAAGAATATTTCATTGCACATACGATAACAGATCACTCGTGTTGTAAATGTGTTCACGAATCAATTCTACATTGAACGAAACAGCAGCAGATCGATTCGGTGATGGCATTCCCAACTGAATGAGAACTTTGTTCCCGATTTCTAAGCACAAATCTTCAATCATTATCAACGCTTCGTTGTAGATTTCTGCTGTGAAATTTATATTCATATTGGAATTTTCATTGCGTATTCAAAGGATAATATCTTCAGCCATGTGCGATTTGTGTTTCTCCTTCGTTGGAGATGAAGGAGAGCCGGTGGTCAATATGATTGCAAACAATGTGCGAATTTGATTTGGATGTGATGTATTGGACGTGTCATTAATGCATACATCCCAGTGTCGGTCGTTCTCCAATAAATTCAGAGCTTGTCAAGCACTACGGCAAGTGGCATGTGTTACGCCGCTGAAAATCTCAATTGCTGGAAAGACCTTGGACCGGGCACATTTACCAACAACTTGCGAAGAAAGAAGCATTTATCATGAATGGAATGCATGGTGTACAGTCTGCCTATCGTAGTTTGTTTGAATATGCCAGGTTGTCCGTCGACTTGCTCTCCTCGTTTGCGTCGTTCAAATGATTTTCTACTGGCATTCCATGTGTAATACGTAGGCACTTCCGAGAACAGCAATGTTTTCGCAAATGCATCATTTTGACATTACGTGAAGAAAGCAGTTAACGTTGTAGCCGGTGGATTCATAGCTGTTTGTTGCACATTTGCAGCTGTAAAATAAATGTGTTGTCCATTTTCTTGTTTTCAAAACAAAAACAAAAAATACTAACGAAATATTTCAATTCAAACGCAGATCAATCGACACAGATATATTTCACCACCAATTGCACTGAAAAAAAAGAAGAGCAGTTAACAAATGGAATGAAAAAAAATGAAAAAAAGAAACAAATAAGCTATACCCACGAAATGAACGGTATGGTAAACAACACAGCTCAATTCCAACGAAATGTCACACAAAATAATTAGATCAAAATGAAAATAAATAAAAATCTATGAAACTTCAATATATCAATGCAATCGAAAACACTGAAATTGAATCGTAACATATCTTGTATATCGTATGTTGTTCTTACGTGCAACAAATAACGCAGTTTTTTGTTGCACGCAGTAACGCATCTGTCACAGATGAGGCATCTAAAGAGTAGGTATATCAAAACATGCACGCATTCAAAAGAAACGTTTTATCAAAGTTTCAAAGCAATAGGTGAGGAACGTTTGGAGATTACAGCGTTTCTTGCTCATATGTCTTACAGATGGCACTGCTTTTCAAAAAAGCACGTTTTTTCCTGTCACAGGTGAGACATTTATATTGTAGGTATATAAAATCACTCACCTATTCGAATGCAATGTTATGTCAAGATTTCAAAACAATTGGTAAAGATGTTTCGAAGATTTCCCTCACTTGAAAAACACACGAAAACACAGCTTTTCAGAAAGAGCATGTTATTCCCGTCACAAACGTGACATCTATATAGAATATATATAATAACCCGCTCGGATGCGAATGGTACATTGTGTGAAAATTTCAAGGCAATCGGTGAAAATCTTTCGGAGATTAGCGATTTTGAACAAACGAACATTTCCATTTATATATATACTAGCAGTAACCGGCCACGCGTTGCTGTGGCTCAGCAGTGCATGTGTGTTGCTGAGCCACAGCAACCTTCCCTGTCCCCCAGTCCTCCCCACCATTCCCTCCCCCTCCCCCGTTTCTTCAGTCTCCCAACCATTCCCCACTCCACCGTCCCCTCGTCCTCCCCACTATTCCCAACTCCACCATCCCCTCTTCCTTCCCACTATACCGTACTCCCCTATCCCTTTGTCCTCCCCGCCATTCTCAATTCCCCCATCCCCTCGTCCCCACCATCCCAAACTTCCCTGTCCCCTTGTCTTTCTTCACCATTACTGCCTCCCATGTCCCCTTGTCATCCCCATAATCTCTCACTTACATCCCCCTCGTCATCCGCACCATTCCCCACTCCCTCGTCCGATGCTGTCCCAAATGGTCTTATGTTCCCATCAGAAAATTGGGAACATCAAGTGATCTGATGTTCCCATCAATGAAATATAAGAAAAACAGTTTAAAAAATAAATGAAAATATGACCAAATATAAAAATAAACTATACTCACGAAATGAACGGTATGGTAACCATCACAGCTCAATTCCAACGCAATTCACACAAAATAATAAATGAAAATAAATCAAAATCTATGAAAATTCAATTTATCATTGCAATCAGAAACATTGAATTGAAATTGTAACATATCTAGTATAGCATGTGTGTTGCTCTTACATGCAACAGATGGCACTGTTTTTCAAGACAAAGCATAGTTTTACCTGTCACAGGTGTGGCATCTATATTTATACTTACGAAATGAATGGTATGGTAAACAACACAGCTCAATTCCAACACGATGTCACACAAAATAAATCTATAAAAAATAAAATAAATCAAAATCTATGAAAATAAAATTTATCAATGTAATCAAAATGTTAAAATTTATCAATGCAATCGAAATGTTAAAATTTATCAATGCAATCGAAATGTTAAAATTTATCAATGCAATCGAAATGTTAAAATTTATCAATGCAATTGAAATGTTAAAATTTATCAATGCAATCGAAATGTTAAAATTTATCAATGTAATCGATGTCACGGGGGTGGCATCCATATAGTAAGAAAATAAAAAGACGCGGCTATTCGAATGCAACGTTATGTCAAAATTTCAAAGCAATTGGTGAAGAACTTTTTGAGATTACAGCGTGTGTTGCTCTTATGTCCAACAGATGGCACTGTTTTTCAAAAAAGCATGTTTTTTCCTGTCACAGGTGAGGCATGTATATATTTTTTTTTATTTTTATAAAAGAATTATACAAGGTATAGCAGAACACACAATACATAAACAGAAAGACAAATACAGGTACAGAATAACACAGAACATCACCAGAACCCAGAAACGTCAGGTACTGAGGCAAACTATAAAACAGACATGAAAAATGAAAATACAGTAATTACATGGACATGGAAATCACAACAAGAACGTATACAGAATAAACCAACACACACGCACACACACAACGCACACCACAAAAACATCACAAGGCAAAAATACATGGTACACAAAATACATAATTAACATAAAAAAGACGCCCAAGATGCAAGCACAGTAACATACAGACCCCAAGAAACAAACAGGGGCTAACAGCAATATACAGAGACACACGCACAACAAACACTCACCCTAGAAAGAACAAAATAGAGGAAACAAAACGGAGTAAACAACCCAAACAGGGCAAAAGCAATGGCTCACGCAGGAGCCAAGAAAGAAGCATACCCACACACACACACACACCAAACCAAACACACCACCACAGGAGCAACCACAATAGAGCCACAGCAACTGCACAATGTACACACAAACACTGCAACACGGACACATCATGAATATTATGTTCTTGAATGAGAGCCACATCCAAAGGTTGCTCCCGCAGAACATCCAACAGGCCCAACTGGACCCCAAGAGCATTCAAACCCCGAACATTCAAGGACGCACATAAAACAGAGGGCACCATTGGGACAACCTCAGGACACCCCCAACCCGTTGCAACCCACCGACCGCACATCAGCCTGGACCCCAGGGCGCGCACAACGATCGACACCAGGCACCGCACCGAACCCCACGGAGGAGCCTTCCGCCGGAGCCTCAGGGCCCCCGCCAACCGGAACATGGGTTGAAGCTCCCTGATGCCCATCCTTAGATAACACGACCACCAGGGCCCGATCACCAGGGGCAACCGCCCAAGAAGGGGAGCCACCGGCAGGAGGCACAACTTCCAACACGGAAGACACCACAGAAAACACCAGGGCGACGTCCACACCCTCATCCTCCATTGCATCACGGCCCTCTGCCCACAACCGTTGAGGCGACTCAGCCCAAGTTGAACTACGGCTCTTAACATGAGGCTGCTGATCGTCGGAACTATGGCCCCCAGCAAGGGGCGCCCCAGAAGAACCCGTCGCGGGGGCGGCCCATAGCCGACGCAGCACGCCCACGCAGAACAGAAGCCTCCACAGCACGGGGCACAAGTCCACCACCACGCCCGGAGAATGAAGACGGAGAAGGAGCAGGCCCAGCCGGCGGGAGAGCACACTCCAGCACACGGGGAATCCATCACGGACGACACGGCAGGCGAAGACAGACCAGGGGGCAAGGAGCCCACCGAAGGCGACGAGGGAGTCGATGCAGAGACCGAGGGCGGGGAAGATGCAGAGGGCAGGGGAGAGAGCACACTCACCACAACCCCGGCAGCCCCGGGAAGCAGACGACCGGCGGCAGGGGAGGCAGGCACCACCCCACCAGCAGCATCCAAGGACCGCATGGAAGCAACCGGCCGCGGATGCACCTCCGCAACCACCAAATGGAGAATACCCGAGGCAGGAGCACTCAGGTCCACAGAGCACACCGGTGTGTCAGACTTATCAGGGCCCGACCAAGCAGGGCCAGAGGGAGCACCCGCCAGAACCGCCGCAGAAACCACACCAGGCACCAGGTCAGAGCGAGTAAGCGACGAGGAAGCTCTACGCTCATCCAAGCAGTGGAAGACACCTTCCAAAAAAACAAGAGGGAGCCTCAACACGAGGAGCGTCACAGCCGGCTGCCACATGGCCCTCAGCACCACAACGGCAACAGGTCCGTGTCTGGCCCTGATAAAAGACCCGGAGCGAGAGCCCACGATACAAAAGTCTGGACGGAACAGGCGAAGTAACTCGCATAACAAGCGTATGAGTGCCCGTACGTAGTCCCACAGCCGGCTCGCACTCAAAGTGTTGAAGAGGTGAAACACTACCACACAATATCTCGCAAACACCGCCCTCAGCTCGTCTGTGGGGAAAGCCACCGGCACACCATGAACGCTCGCATATTGTACGGCCCCTAGGGATCCAAACCGTCTACAGACAGCCGAGGTAGAGATTGAAACCGTGCAGCCGTCCCAGAGCGCCACAAACTCCCGGTACAACAGACTCGAGCGGAAGGACACTGCCACCCGAGTAGGAGAGAGCTTTTCCAGCCCAAACAAATCCTGAACGTCCACTTTGAGCTCATCGATGACCGCAGTTTCCACTGTCAGCCAGTCTAAAGGCTCAGAAAAATCGAGGCACGCCGTGTCAACCCGCCTGATGCGGGAGACACCACCAACAACCATACCGCCAGCCAGGTCCTCCGGCAAGAAGCGGATCGCACCACAACCCACACCCGCCACCACGCAACACCAGGCAACAACTGGCAGGTCAGGTGAGCACGTCTTGACCCCCTGGTGGTCAGCGAGCGAATCCCCGTGAGGCATGTATATAGTAGATATATAAAAAGACGCCCCTATTCGAATGCAACGTTGTGTCAAAATTTCAAAGCAGTGGGTAAAGAGGTTTCGAAGATTTCCCTCACATGAAAAAAACATGAAAAACAGTTTTTCAGAAAAAAACATGTTTTTTTTACCGTCACAGACGTGACATCTGTATACTATATATATGTAAACCTGCTCGGATGCAAATAGAACGTTGTGTGAAAATTTCAAAACAATTGGTGAAGAACTTTCGGAGATTAGCGATTTTGAACAAACGAACATTTCCATTTATATTTATATAGACTAGCTGTGCTCGCCACGCATTGCTGTGGCTCAGTCTGGTTAAATGGACAAGAAAGAAAAGCGAAAATGCACGTTCCTAACATGTTTAATTTCATAATGCATGTGGGTATACAATATTTGTTATTGTTCCACTGTCTGTGAAGATATAGAGATTGTCTGACTGCCGGCTCTAGAACAAGCACATATAATTGTCCATGTGAGAAGCAATCCGTGTCTAGATTTAAAGCGCACAATTCTAAAGATTGGGCCTGAGCTTTGTTGATAATGATTACAAACACCAATCGAATTGGGAATTACATTCTTTTAAATTGAAATGGCAAATCCGTTGGAATCATAGAAATGTGAGGAATGAGGACATCTTCGCCTTTGAAAGGTCTTGTCAAGATTTGCAACCAAAACAAATGGTTGATATTTCGTAACATGATATTTGGTACGCCGATTTTTAATTGCAGTTCATGCGGTGTTGATATCCCCTGGCAGATCGAGTGAATTAAAAAATTACGTTCGATAATTAATCGCTTCATCTGCTTCCACCACAGTGTCGACCAACTTGTATGTGACTGCCTTGCTTTCTATGTTAGACTGTAATATTGTTAAGTTCTTAGATGTCTTTGTTCTTGGCCGCAAGAACAGTTCGTTCTCTCAGCCAATCGTGATTCTTATAATTGGTTTGAATATTGGGAAATACTTTTTCAACCAATTCTTCTTTTGACGTCACTAAATTGCAGAAGTTATGAGGCAATAAAATTCGTCCTGAGGTCAGATCAACCAGCACGTTTCCGTTCTCAATTTCCAGAAATTGATGTGAGAATATCTCAGCTGATGAGTCGTTTTGCAGCTGGATACAAATATTTATAGTTAATTTTAACATCTTTACGTGGCGCCACATAGTAGAGTATTTTAGGGAAGCATTTATTTCTTCCGTTGGTGTCGATTGAGGAATTATAGGTAATGTTTGCATGAAATCTTCTGCAAGCAATATTAATGCGTTCCCAAATGGTCTGATGTTTCCACGCAAATCTTGCAATGATCGATTAAAAGCCTCGAGCGATTTTTTTGTGGGCCATTGTGCATTCATCCCAAACAATCAGTTTACATATCTGCAATACTTTTCCCATGCCGGATGCTTTGGAAATGTTGCACGTGGGAGTTTCAATGAACTGCATGTTCAATGGCAATTTCAAAGCCGAAGTAGCAGTTCTTCCACCTGGTAGCAATGTCGCAGCTATTCCGATGCAAGAGCTTAGGTTATGCAATTTTTTAGTTGAAATGCTGCCAAAATCAATGTAATTAGAAAGGTTTTACAGTTCCTTCTGGCGCATCTAAGAAGATTTCTCCAAACCCGTTATTGACAGTATGAATTATTTGATCGTAAATGCCTTTTCTCTCAAGCGTTAGCTTAAGAATATTAGAATGCACATACGATAACAAATCACTTGTGTTGTAATTTTGTTCACTACCCAATTCTACATTGAATAAAACAGCAGCAGATCGATTCGGTGATGGCATTCCCAATTGAATGAGAACTTTGTTCGCGATTTCTAAGCACAAATCTTAAATCATTATCAACGTTTCTTTGTAGATTTCTGCTTTGAAATTCATAATGGAATTTTCCTTGCGTATTAAATGGACAATATATTCAGCCATGTGCGATTTGTGTTTCTCCCATACTGTGTTGGAGATGAAGGAGAGCCGGTGGTTTATATGATTGCAAACAATGCACGAATTTGATTTGGATCTGAGGTGTTGCACCTATCATTAATGCATACATCCCAGTGTCGGTCGTTCTCCAATAAATTCAGAGCTTGACATGCACTACGGAAAGTGGCATTTGTTACGTCGCTGACAAATCTCAATTGCTGGAAAGAGGTTGGGCCGGGCACATTTACCAACAGCTTGTGAAGAAAGAAGCATTCCTCATGATTGAAATGCATGGTGTACAGTCTGCCTATCGTAGTTTGTTTGAATATGCCAGGTTGTCCGGCGACTCGGTCTCCTCGTTTACGTCGTTCAAATGATTTTCTACTAGCATTCCATGTATAAGACGTAGGCACTTCCGAATACAGCAATGTTTTTGCAAACACGTCATTTTGACATAACGTGAAGAAAGCAGTTAACGTTGTAGCCGGTGGATTCATAGCTGTTTGTTGCACATTTGCTGCTGTGAAATAAACGTGTTGTCCATTTTCTTATTTTCAAAACAAAAACAAAAAATACTAACGAAATATTTCAATTCACACGCCGATTTCACCACCATTTCATTTCACGACACATCTCAATTTCACCACCCATTGCACTGAAAAATAAGATGAACAGTAATAAAACTGAGTGAAAAACAATGAAAAAAGAAACAAATAAGCTATACCCAAGAAATGAACGGTATCGTTAACAACACAGCTCAATTCCAACGCAATGTCACACAAAATAATTTAATCGAAATGAAAATAAATCAAAATCTATGAAAATTCAATATATAAATGCAATTGGAAACATTGAAATTGAATCGTAACATTTCTTGTATATCGTATTTTGCTCTTACGTGCAACAGATGGTGCTGTTTTTCAAATAATGTATGTTTTTACCTGTCACAGTTGTGGCATTAAAATAGCAGGTAAATCAAAACATGCACCTATTCTAAAGGAACGTTGTGTCAAAATTTCAAAGCAATCGGTGAAGAACTTTTGGAGATTACAGGATGTGTTGCTCATACGTCCTACAGATGGCGCTGCTTCTAAAAAAAAAACATGTTTTTTCCTGTCACAGGTGAGGCATGTATATAGTAGGTATATAAAAACACTCGCCTAATCGAATGCAATGTTGTGTCAAGATTTCAATGCAATCGGTAAAGATTTCCCTCACTTGAAAAGCAGACGCAAAACACAGTTTTTAAAATAAAACATGTTTTTTCCTGTCACAAAAGTTACATCTGTGTAGTGTGTATATAAAACCCCGCTAAGATGTGAATGGAACGTTGTGTGAAAATTTCGAGGCAATCGGTGGAGAACTTTCGGAGATTAGCGATTTTCAACAAACGAACATTTCCATTTTTATTAATATACTAGCTGTACACGGTCCACGTTGCTGTGGCTCTGCAATGCATGTCACACAAAATAATTAAATCTAAATGAAAATAAATCTAAATGTATGAAATTTCTATTTATTAATGAAATCGGAAACATTGAAATGGAATCATAACATATTTAGTATAGAGTGCATTGTTCCTATGTGCATCAGATGGTGCTGTTTCTTAAAAACATAAGGTTTTTACCTGTCACAAGTGTGGCATGTATACTTATACCCACGAAATCAACGGTATGGTAAAAAATACAGCTCAATTCCAACGAGATGTCACACAAAATAATTAAATCAAAATGAAAAAATAATCGAAAAAATGAAAAATCAATATATCAATGCAATCGGAAACATTGAAATGGAATCGTAACATATTTAGCTATGCGTGTGTTGCTATTACATGCAACGGAGGGCACGGTTTTTCTAAAAAAAAAAACATGTTTTTACATTGTCACAGGTGTGGTATCTATATAGTAGGTATATAAAAATATGCGCGTATTTGAATGGAACATTGTCAAAATTCCAAAGCAATGGGTGAAAAACTTTTGAAAATTACAGCATGTGTTGCTCTTACGTCCAACAGATGGCGCTGTTTTTCAAAAAATGTTTGTATTTTCCCTTTTACAGGTGAGGCATGTATATAGTAGATATATAAAAACACGCGCCTATTCGAATGCAATGTTGTGTCAAAATTTAAAAGCAATCAGTAAAGAGGTTTCAAAAATTTCCCTCGCATAAAAAAACCATGAAAAACCCAGTTTTTCAAATAAAGCATGTTTTCTTCCGGCACAGACGTGACATCTACATAATATGTATATAAAAACCCGCTCGGATGCGAATGGACGTTGTGTGAAAATTTCAAAGCAGTCAATGAAGAACATTTGGAGATTAGCGATTCTGAACACACGAAGATTTCTATATATATATATATATATATATATATATATATATATATATATATATATATATATATATATATATATATAGTATATTTTGGTAGCAGTCTTTCCTGTAGACATATTTTATTAAATATGACCGAAAAAGTAAGATTAATAATTCTAACACGAATTTTCTCAATCTTTC